CCTGAGGGGTTTTTCTTCCTTATGTATAACAATAAAGGGGATCAGTTTTTTGTTTGTTTTGTTTTGCTTGAGACAGGGCCTCACTATGCACCCCAAGGTGGCTTTGAACTTGTGATCCTCAGAGATATAGAATTACAGGTGCCTGCCTTCATGTCTGGCTGTAAAGGGATTCAAACAGCCATGTTAACCAACCAGCATTTGAATAAACTGCTCAGAAATGGAAATGAAACAAGAAATATTACAGATGTTCCTCCTCTGGCCCTTGATGGCCATTGAGGAACCGAGTCCTATTAGCTTCCGTCCCAGAAACTTGCATAGTCAAGTACACACAACTACAGTGTATGTTATGGAAGGGGCTGGATTTTCCCAGGCTCAGAAAATAAGCTCCTGACTTCTCTTGAAGTCAGGACTATGGGTCTCATGTTTTCCTTTCCCTCATGAACTAGCTAGCTGACAGCTCTACAGTTGGAGCCAGCCTGGCTTGCTGGAAACTTAGGCTGCCATTTGTTAGCTGAGTAGATCTCTTGTGCTTTCCAACTTCAGTTCTCTTACCTATTAAACTAGGACAAAAATAGCATTTGATGCTCAGGGTAATAATGAATATTCAAATGAAAAAAAAGGCCAAGACCTGAAACAAAGTGCTCATTCATTCGTTCATCTTACATGAACCTCATTTCACATTGCGCTGCTGCATGGAAGGACCAGGCTTAGATGCAAGGCCCCCTCTTACAGGAAGCCTGACAGGACTAATGGTTCTAAGTGGGAGCATGATTTTAGGGCTGCCATACATCCTCCATGAAGACAGAAGTCTTGGTTGTAATGGTGAGTATGGGACATGGCTCAGAAGGTGTTACAGGGAGCTAAGGAGAAAAGTAGAAGCAAGAAGCCAGAAGTTAAGCAAGTATGGTGGTCCTTAGGAGGCTAAGACAAGAGGATAATAAATCTTGAAGTTATTTTAGGCTGTCTCAAAAGTAAACAACAAAAAGAATGCTATAATATTGACCTGACAAACAAGATGAGCTCACTGGCCCAACAGGAGCACGACTGTTATGAGTGTAACCAACCACTTTCTGGTTGGGTTTGAGGTCTTCTTCACTGAAGAAAAATCATGTCTATCACTGTAGACCTGATCAAATGCCATGGGTGGGAAGCTCGTAGGTCCTACAAAGAACCTACCACTGATGCTTTGCTTAATGGACATGTTAAGATGACATGTAAAAGTTTATGTCCATATCCATTGATTGGTACTACTCACAGCCTTGGCAGAGAAGCTTCTTTGTACAGTGAACAGTAGTAAAGCACAGCTCATAATTGGTCAAAATAAAAAGTGACTGTTCTGTATGTACTCCTAAATATGACATTTATTTACCACCACCACCACCCCCCAAGCTCAGGTAACAGAGCACTCACAACAGAAAGTATGCAAATACTGTAAAAAGCAGGATAAGGGAGGATACAGTCAAACACTGTCTTCTGGACATGCCATGGCCATTGCATTCATGAACTCACAGTAGCTGTGTTTCCCTGCATAAGAAAAATCTGCCCAAGATGTGATCTGTCAATAACCCATCACAGATGCTGAAGGAGCTCGTGACACTCACCTCTACCTGAGTAATATAAGAGGTTGATGTTTGCTGAAAGAGGGAGAGTAATATTTACCAGTGATGTAGCCACTGGTAAGTTGTCCTGGCCCCGTAAATAACCCCCACTCATGCTCATGCAAGCAACTGTAATTAAAAATGTACACACACACACACACACACACACACACACACACACACACACACGAAAGTAAGAGAGGGGATTGCTGGGAAGAAAAGGATGAGTTCAACAGGAATGGAAAGAAAAGAAGACAGTGAGGTATGAATTTGATCAAATACTTTATGAATGAGTAAATAAATAGCACATACATCATACACCAGTTTAGTTGGAACAGTTCCCTAATGCATCCTTCCCCCAGGAAGACACCATTAGGAGCAAAATGACATGGAATATGTACCTTTCCCTCTCTGGAGTCACTAATATGGTGGCTTTCTTAATGTTTACTAGAATCTATTTATACAATGGGACATAACCATTGGTGCAAGCAAAACACTGTGTCTCCCCATATCTTATCAACACCCAGTGTGATAAAATTTGGAGGTAGGGCTTTTGGGGGGCATCCAGTCATGAGAAGTGAAACCTTCATGAAAAGAAATTGATGTTCTTACAAAAAAAAAGGATTCCAAAGAGATCTCTTTGTCCTCTATCAAATGCAGACACAATGAGAATTCAGAGGTGTAAAGTTCAGCAGAGAATCATCCCCAAAGTCAGGCCACATTGAACCATGATTTCAACCACTAGCCTCCAGAGGGGGTGAAAGACATTTCTGTTGTTCCTAAGCCACCATGCTGGATTTTTATGGCAGCCCAGTCCAATATAAATGTGGACACACCATGTATAAAGAGACTGAATCTTCTCAAAAGCAGCAAAGAACTTCAAGAGCTGAAAAAAATCTAAATAACTGCCCAGTGTGGAGTTGAGTCTGGAAATCATCTACCCCAGCTATGGGAGGATTTTGGCTGGCCAGATCTTGCACAGGTAACCCTGGCTGCTGTGAGTTCCTAAGTATGACAGCCATGCCACGTCCAGCAAGCACTCCTCCCCATTCTCTGGCTCTTACAATCATTCTTCCATGCCTTCCCTGATCTTCCCTGTGCATTGGTGGAGTGCTAGTGATATAGATACTTGTTTAGGGTTGAACACAACATCTCCAACTCTCACCACTTTGACCAATTATGTATCTCTCTGCAAAAGGAAGCTTTTCTGACCAATGTTGACATCTTCAGGGAGAGAGAACTGTTGGTTTTTTTAATCTATAACCACTGATAGGATTCCCATTTCCAGTGGCTCTCACACTAACAAAAGTAGGAGCAGCACAAATTGAACCTGGTAGGTTATATTTATTTCTTCTTGTTTTGTTTTTTGAGAGTTTTTCTATGCAGCCATGGCTGTCATGGAACTCAAGTCACAAAGATCTCCCTGTCTCTGCCTCCCAAGTGCTGGGATTAAAGGCACGTGCCACCACCACCTGACTGTTATTTTTTTTAAAGATAATGCAGTCAGAAGGGGGGCATGTTGGGAGAGATTTGTTGGGGTTTCAAGGATGTAACTGGAAGTAGATATAATCATGTATCAATTCTGAAAAAAATAATCATGTATGTTGTTCTGTAAACTGAAAAAAAATTCCAAAAGACCATAGGAAGTTCTGAATGGAAGGGCATATCTGTCCCAAGCTCACCCTTAGCTTCTTTCATATGTACTGAAAATCACGAACTCACATTCCAGGGCTGCACAGCCACGTTTCTACTTGGAACTCTGGTTCTACTTTTGGGGCAAAAATGCTTGTGACCCTAATGCAAGTGTCAGAGCTGAGGCTTCTGGCTGTGGAAATGAGTTTAAAGGCTTATTACAGTTTGGCAAGAAATTAGTTTTCAAGTTAACTTAAATTGATTTAAACACAGTAACTCTATTTTAAATCCCTCAACTTTTCAATTATGCTACCAGAGTTTGGAACTTGGATGCTTCCCAAAGGTCCATGTGTCAAAGGCTGAGTTTCCAACTCTAATAGATGGAATCTAGGAAGAGGCAGTTAAGCTGTTAGGTTGTGCCCTGGAAACAGATACTGGAACCCAAACTCCTTCCCATCTCTTTCTCCTTTTCCTGTGTGGTGACTAAGGCAAGGTCACTAGCTCCTGTTGTGACATTATGTGCTGCCACAGGCCCTAAACAACAGAGCTCAGTGGTCCTCACAGAAACTTCCAAAACCAAAACAGTATTTTCTCCTCCTAATGTTTATCTTGGACATTTTGTAATGGCGACCAAAAGTTGACTAATACACATACAAACTTATATGGCAGGAGAGAGAATAAAATCTAAGATTTTCCTTCAATTCAGTCAGGTTTTAGTCAAAAGAAAAATCTTGTCAGTAAAATCTTCTGTCCTCTCTATTTCTTTATAGGCCTATTTTAGGATGGTAAAAGATTATGCTAATAAATAATAGGGTTATTTTATCATAAACTTCATTTAAGTTGTCATATGAGGTTTACACTCCCCCTTTCTATGTAGAGGTACTCTTGTGGGAGAAGCCATTCTTCATCCTGCCTCTCCACAGCTGGCTGAGCTGTGTGGTTCATGTTCAGGGAAGAACAGATGGCTCCAATTATTACTTAGCAGCCATGGTGCAAGGAAAGATGTTCTTTTGTATTACTGCTTATTAAAGTTGCAAGCTTCACTTTTTTGAAGACATGGATGGACTGTCAGGGCAAATGTCTATCAAGAATGGACTATCTATACTTGGCATGGGTGGGAATTAAATTCTGACACTGAATGATTGTCTCTGCTTCTGTCTGCCTATGGTAGTTTATTATGAGAGGCTTATCTTGTCTATGAGTAAATTCAATGCACAAAGCACCTAAACCCATTGATATAATGATTGTAGCAAAATATATGTAGTGATGGCATTCAGGGGCTGCATAAGTGGCAAAGCCCTGGCCTGTGCTTCTTTCTTCTCTGTCTTAGCCTTACTCTGAATCCAGAGCAGCTACAATGAAATTTCTGAAGCCCCTTTCAATACTCCCTAGTTTAATGGCAGAATTTTACACTTCATGATCATATGTCACCCTTCTTTTTTCCTGCCATTGGTTATGAGTGCCTTTTCTTCACCTGTACAATTGTTAGCGTATCTATCAAAGAGCTGCAAGTGGCTGACCTTCGCCCACCCCTTTGTCTTTCCTTCCTATAGTATTAGAATTGCCTCCTAGTGAACTGCTGGCCATTCACTGAGTGTGACTGTTTGCTACCCTGAATAATTCCTCATATAAACTAAGGATTTTGTTTTGTCTTGTTTTTATTTATATAAAACATCAACTAAATCCAAGTGCTTCTAGCAAAAAAAAAGGATAAAAAAGCAATAGCAATAGGGTTCTGTATATTGGAAGCAGAATTTTTTTTCTACTGGATTCATTTATAAGTACTTTATTGGAGTCTATTTAGACAATACCCCATAGGAGACAGGCTAGATAATCACCTATTAGCCAGTGAGCCAAGGTCACGTGAGACAGAAGACCCCAGGTTGACACAGACCATGCCAGCTGCCTTTGCTGCGGAGATGACTCACATGAGCTGTGAGGGCTTGACACACACGAATGGAGTCCAAGGCTGCATGTCCACAACCATAAGGCTGCATGTACACATCCGGTGGTGGGAGACATCTGTGTGTCCACAACTGGCGGTGGGAGGCAGCTGCACGTCCTCATTTGATGGTGGGAGGCAGCTGCGTGTCCTCATTCAATGGTGGGAGGCAGCTGCGTGTCCTCACTCGATGGTGGGAGGCAGCTGCGTGTCCTCATTCGATGGTGGGAGGCAGCTGCGTGTCCTCATTCGATGGTGGGAGGCAGCTGCGTGTCCTCACTCGATGGTGGGAGGCAGCTGCGAGTCTGCATCCAGCTGTGGGAGGCAGCTGCGTGTCCACACCCAGTGATGTGAGGCGGTTTCTGAGTGGGAGTTTCATTCTGCCTCCATTTACCTCACAAACAGACATAGCAATCTGCTCTCCCCATCCCTCACTCAGAGCTGCACCGCACAAAAACCCTGTCAGTCAAGGATAAGCTAGGGAGGACAAACCATTTCATTTTCTGTTTGAAACAGTAACCATGATGGTCTTGCCTGCCTATGCTCAATAAAAGGAAAAGGAGAAGGAGAAGAGGAAGGGAAAGGAAAACGTGTTAGTTGTTATTCCTATATAAGTAGCACATAGCTGCTTCAGTAATGGGGTAAACATAGTGGTCCTTAATGTAACAGATAAAATGTATTGCTATGTATATGGACAGCTTACACATGTATATAAACAGACATATTTACTGCTATAAATTTACCATGATAAGGATCACAGGAACTATAGAAACTATACATTACATAATGTATATAATCTATATGCTATGTAATATATATGTATATATATATGCAACAATCCAAACTGCTCTGTTTTTTCTTTCAGAACATCCACCTAGCTACTGAAAGAGTCAAAACAAGTAGCAGAAAATAGTGAATATTTGCCTTGTGTTCTGTGTAGCAAAGACAGACTACTATTATCTCTGGTTTGAAGAATTTATAACATAGCAGGTGGCTTCAGAAGTAAATGGGTACATGCAGAATGCTGGAATGATTACCACAGCTTTATGAAAGCACACTCAAGTCTGGTTATTGATGAATGCTTTCCAAGATTACAAAAGGGAGACTGGCTTTGAGGGTCCCATGAGCATAAGAAAGAGTAGGAAGACAAGGGAGTCCCTACCAAGAAGCAGGGCTCTGGGAGTACACACAGCTCGCCACCCAGAGGATCACTGGGGCCAGGCCTCTAGTCTATTGATGAAGTGCTGTGGTCTTCGCATAGAGCTAAATGAGGATCCTTAATGAACAGGCAATGTTTAAAAAACAACCCAAGCCAGGCGGTGGTGGTGCACGCCTTTAATCCCAGCACTCGGGAGGCAGAGGCAGGCGGATCTCTGTGAGTTCGAGGCCGGGCTGGACTGATAGCCTCTGAAACAATACAGAGAAACCCTGTCTCATAAAAACCAAAATAAATAAATAAATAGATAAATAAACAACCCAACCCTAAATCATTCGTGTCCTTGGTTACTTACGAGGCATGGAAGCAGTCTGTGGGTAGATGGCAGGGACCCATCTATTAGGGTGGAAGTTGCTGTGTGAATTTCCTGGTATCAGAAAGACGTCTGGGGCCATATTTGTGAGATAATTTCTACAGCGCTTTACTTGACTCTGGAAGGCTTCGCCCTTGAGATCTGAAGGCTGAAACACCAAAACACCTGTATTAGGAATCTTTGCTCTCACAGAAACTGTTTTAGTGTAAACACGACATGGAACATGTAGTTTTGGAGACCCAGTAGACATCAGTGATATAAGCTGTAAGAATGTTCTGCCATATTTAATGAAGGGAGTGGGGTTCTTCTTCAGTTTACTGAGCTTCAGGAGTAGAAAACTAGGGAAATTCTTTTCATGCATACAAACCTTTCTGGTTGAGGTAATGGATTTGCACACACAGGAATGGCTTGCAGCTTCCCCTCCCACAGCATGTTAGGAACCACATGTTTCCATCTCAGACAAACCCACAGTTAGTCCTGCCCAAAATGGCATCTGCTTCTATCAACATCCAATCTACTCCTTCAATTCCATCACCTTATCTCTATTAAAACTGCCTGTCATCTTAGTTGTGGCCCATATTTCTCCTTTGGAGTATTACAGTAGCAATGCTAAGTTAATAATAAGGCTCTGTGGCTGCAGTTAGTGAAACACAATTTGAACTAGTTTAGGCAGAGAAACATCAGTAAAAGTTTACAGTAGCAAAAAATTAGAAATTGAGACCTTTAAAAGGGAACAGTGCTCATGGTACTTCAGTGATCAGTCACAAAGTTGATGTTTTTTCCTCTGGAGTTCTGTCATTGATATCTGGGCTCAACTCCACTTTCTAAGCTCCATCTCTTGTTCTAACTCACAAGAAAGAATCTAACTGAGTGCATTTTGGAACAAGTATCCACACTGCTCAAGGTGATATATTCAAGATAATACATTTTTCGGAGCTACCTCTATAGATCAGGGACAAATGTCAGCTCACAGGCTTCACAAACTTGGTGGCATTCCAGGGGATGCCATTGGCTACTTAATGTACACACACACACACACACACACACACACACACACACACACACACACACTTCACTCCTCTATTCAAAGGCAATGTCATTCTTCAATAACTTGCCTAGCCAACAAATATTTATTTTAGTGTCTGTGATATCTAGCCCTAGAAAACCATTATGTCATTATAAGAAGGTTAAAGAGGGAAAATTCATGTTACCATGAGGAATAAATAATTTATAAGTGTAAAGAAAATAATAATACAAGAAAATGTAAAGCTTCAACCTTACAGAGGTTGACATATGAAAGCTTAGGATAAAAATATCATATTCTGAGAAACTAACTAATGCACTGAGATACAAAGAGAGAAAATTTAGCCAAGTAGAAGGAAAGGAGCACTGTCCAAGAAAGACAGTGTATCTGTAGCTATCATCTGGAAGACAGTAGCTATTGGCAATGTTTGAGGGTTTGTGGGTCTCTGCAGATGGAACTAGAGAGGGAGCTAGGCACCACAACATGCAGACCTTGGTGTGTGTGTGTGTGTGTGTGTGTGTGTGTGTGTGTGTGTGTGTGTGTTCTTGTGCACTCCACTGTGTGTAGATTCCAGAGGTCCATGTAGGATGTCTATCTCTTTCTATATACCCTAATTTCAGACATGATCTCTCACTAAACTGGAACTCATTGATAGGCTGCACAGCTTGCCAGCAATTCCAGGATTGGCCTATCTTTGGCCTGCAGCACAGGGTTAAAGAATTCACCACCACACTTAGCTTGAAATGGGGGCTGGAGATGAAACTCACATCCTCATGCTTATAGAGCAATCACTTTACTCACTGAGCCATCTCACCAGTAAGAATTTTATTATAAAAGAAAGCAAAATGTATCAGGATTTGATTTGTATATCAAAAGGATCATGTTTATTGTAGACAGAAGTTTCTGTCCTGTCAAGTTCCTCAGCTGTTTAGTTCCAAATAAACACACAGAGGCTATATTAATTATAAACTGTTTGGCCAATGACTCAGGCTTCTTATTGACTAACTCTCTCTCTTAATTACTAATCTTTTTCTATTAATCTATGTGTCTCCATGTGGTCTCGGCTTACTGGAGAATGCCTGGGCCTCTTACCTTCCTGGTCACTATATGGTATCTCTCTTGCAACCCACTCTCTGAGATCCTCTTCTCCAAATGCTCCTAGTCTGGTTGCCCTGCCTATACTTCCTGCCTGGCTACCTACTACCTGGCTGTTGGCCAAAACAGCTTTATCATCAACCAATAACAGAAACATATATTCACAGAATATAGAAGGACATCCCCCCATCAATTTAAAATGTGTAGTCGTGTCTGGGAAGGGTCTAGAGTAAAGAAGCTATCACAGTGGTCTAGGAAGGCATCACAACTTCTTGACCCCATGATTCCACTGTGCTCAGCAACCAGGGTCACTGGAGAAGGCCTTTACATCCTCCATTCTGTCATGACCCACCCCCATCCCCTTAGCCTATGAATGCAGATTTAGCTATCAATCAGACACAAATTAAATGGAGGGAACAGTAGAAATACAATGCCATTCATTTTCTCAAATAGAAAATTAACTTTTATTTAAACTTTAGTGAACTAGTAAACTGAACACATATACTTCCTGTACCATAGTCAGCTTCCACAGAAAGTAGAGAAAAGATGAGATGTTCATTCCCGATAGTCTCAAGAATAGGCAGGCAGACTTGACAATACACCAGATTTGTGTTCCTGAAAGAAGAAAAGAAGAACAGTGTAGAGAAAGCATCAGTTTAGAAGTGGCCAGGGAGAATCTGGGGGGAAGGAAGGAGCCAATATTCTAGGAAAAACTCTTGCTGTGCACTACATTCCAACTTGGCAGTATAAAGAAAAGAGAGACAGGGTCAGCAATCAGGGTAATTAACTGAGTGGCAGCTCTACAGGTGACCTTTTTCACTCACTGCATGTATGTTACTTGCCAGAGCAGTTATTAAAACTGCTAAAAGCAGTTTGGGTCCAAGCCAAAAAAAAAAATGATAGTGTGAACTTTAATGGGAACAAACAACCTATTATCACCCAAGTGGAACTGTCATCACTTGTGGTTGAGGTTTCTGTCGCGTCCACTACAAAAAGCCTGCAGTTAGACAGATGCATCCCACTTGCAGGACACAGCCTCAGCCTCCCAGATAGGAGAACGCTCTTTTGAGAACACATTTACACTCACCCACAAAGGAAGGTCATGCTCCTCTTCACTCGTGTAACCTTTACAAGTGTGTATGAACAAAACAGACAAACAGAAAGGAGAGCCATGCAGCCAGCAAAACCGAAAGCCCAGGAACACACATTGCAAACCAATGGAGTGAGAACCCAGGAAGCAGATAAATCAGGAAGGTGCATACAAAACTCTAATGTCACCAGAGTAACTTAAGAAGTCAATGTACTAGACAGAAGTGACTGCATTGCATTTATAAAAATCAAATAATTAGGACTGCTGACATTTAAGCATGGATGAGTAGGTATAATAAAACAGGAAATCTATAAGAATACAAAACAATCAAGAGATAGAAAACTCAAAAATTTAAGGAAACTATAGAATTAAACAAAAAATTCCAAGAACACAAAGAAGCTGTGGGTTAAAATAAAATTATCATGAAATTGCATCTGTGATATGGTAGGTTACATTCTCAGTGACTTTCTCCCTAAAGTTGAATTTAAAATTCTTAACCATCAATGAAAAAATATTCAAACTGGGAACTTAATGAAGGAAAAAATTCAGAGAGGTAACCTAGACCTAAGCCAGTCTTTGCCTTAGGTATATTTGTCCAGTTTCATCACTGTGAGCTTTGTGGGAGAGAGGAGACAAACTCAACGTCTGCTGAGCATACAAGAACCACCACCAGAGCTGGGAGCTTGATGCTGCAATCTCAACATAGATTTTTTAAAATCAATCTTTGAGCTTGAAACTATGAAGAGCAAGGTGAGCATTACTGTTAGAGTGATAATGAACCAAAGAAAAAAACCACAACAAAAAGTGAGGGCCTGAAAGTGTCAATAGTTTCCATGAGCAGAAAACAGGCCCTGAGCTGAGTCCCCAACATTCCAAGGCCACACATCTGAATCACCTCAACCTTTAACTCTGTGCCCAAACCATCTCTCCCCCATCTAAGATCTCAGATGCTGAACATCTCAGTTGAAGAGAAGACAGCATCTTCTAAGAAAACCAAGTAACAGATCCAGACACGGAGAAAACATGATGCAGAATGCAACTAGTAAAAATCTACACTAATCTGTTCAAACACAGCAAATTAGTGAGAGATCTTTATTTTATTTTTGAGATTATAATAGTACATTTCCCCCCTTCCCTTTCCTTCCTCCAAACTTTTTCATATACCCCTCCTTGCCCTCTTGCAAATTCATGGCCTCTTTTCCCATTATTTCATGCATATATGTATATGTATACACATATGTATTTCCAAATGTAACCTGCCCAGTCCATATGATGTTACTTGTATGTACGTTTTCAGCGCTGACCATTTCGTACTAGACAACCAGTTGGGAAAAGGCTATATCTCATATCCTTTACCTGCTTATAGTTCTTTGTGTAAAGTTGAGGCCTCATCCATTTGGCAAGTGTGTTGTTGTTGCTGTCCTTGTTCAATTCATATTTAGAAAGTCATGTTGGTGAGCCTTATGAGTATAGCTTCTGAAAGAGTCAAAGACAGAGTCTCACAGCAAACGCTGGTCCTCAGGCTCTTGCAATCCTTCTTCCCCTCCTCCCCAATGCTCCCTGAGCCTTGGGTGAGGGAATGTTTTGTAGACATACCCATCAGACTAGGTTCTACAGCCCTGCATTTTTTTCCTTTTTTTAAATTTAAATTAGAAACTAGCTTCTTTTACATGTCAATCCCAGTTCCCTCTTCCTCCCCTCCTCCCCTGCCCCCACACTGACCCTCTAACCCTTTATGCTCCCATGGGGGATCATCAAAGTCTGTCACATCATTTGGAGTAGGGCCTAAGCCCTCCCCTGTGTGTCTAGGATGAGAGAGTATCCCTCTATGTGGAGTGGGCTCCCAAAGTCCATTTGTGTACTAGGGATAAATACTGATCCACTACCAAAGGCCCCATAGATTAACCAGACCTCCAAATTGACATCCTTGTTCAGGGGGTCTGGAACAGTCCTATGCTGGTTTCCCAGCTATCAGTCTGGGGATCATGAGCTCCCCCTTGTTCAGAGCAGCTGTTTCTGTGGGTTTCACCAACCTAGTCTTGATCCCTTTGCTTATCACTCCTCCCTCTCTGCAACTGCATTCCAGAGTTCAGCATGGTGTTTAGCTGTGGGTGTCTGCTTCTATTTCCATCAGCTACTGGATGAAGGCTCTAGGATGGCATACAAGGTAGTTATCAATCTCATTATTGGGGAAGGGCATTTAAGGTAGCTTCTTCACTATTGCTTAAAATTTTAGCTGGGGTCATACTTGTAGATCTCTGTACAATACCCTAGTGCCAGGTTTCTCTTTATGTCTCCTTCTGTTATGGTATCTCTTTTCTTGGTCTCCTCTGTTCTTCCCCTGACTGAATCTTCCTGTTCCCTCATGTCCCCCTCTTCCCTCCTCTTCTCCCCTTCTCTTTCTTCTAATTCCCTCTTCCCTCCCCCCCCCCATTGCTCCCAATTAGCTCAAGAGATCTTGTCGCTTTCCCCTTCTCCAAGGGACCATGTATATTTCTCTTAGGGTCCTCCTTGTTTCCTAGCTTCTCTGGTGGTGTGGTTTGTAGGCTGGTACTCATTTGCTCTATGTCTAAAATCCATATATGAGTGAATACATATCATTTTTTTCTTTTTGTGACTAGGTTACCTCACTCAGGATGGTTTCTTCTAGTTCCATCCCTTTACCTGGGAATTTCAAGATTCCATTATTTTTTTCCACTGAGTAGTACTCCATTGTGTAAATGTACCACATTTTCTCCATCCATTCTTCAGTTGAGGGTATCTAGGTTGCTTCCAAGTTCTGGTTATTACAAATAATGCTGCTATGAACATGGTTGAACAGAGGTCCCTGTTGTATGAATGTGCATCTTTTGGGTATATGCCTAAGAGTGGAATTGCTGGATCTTGTGGTAGACTGATTCCCATTTTCCTGAGGAATCTCCATACTGATTTTCAAAGTGGCTATATGAGCTGGCACTCCCACCAGCAGTGGAGGAGTGTTCCCCTTTCTCCACATCCTCTCCAGCATAAACTGTCATTGGGGTTTTTGATTTTCAGCTCTGTGTTTTGATTGATTGTAGTTTTCTGTAGTGGAAGAGACCTTTCTCTTACTTCTATGACTCAAACAAAATCTTACCAACCATTCCTCAGAGATATCCTCACCAGAGATAACTATGTTATATAATATATGATATGATAATATCATATGAATGTGGTAATAAAAGAGTTTAAGTATCAAGATTCCACTATAAAACCCATTGCTTTGTATGAGAGCCCCCCAAAATTAGAAAAGTATTTAGAAAGTGTAGGCATGATATGATGGTGTACAGCAATGAGTGCTAATGTTTTTGTGCTCCATACCTATTAACTGAAAAACATTAACACAAAGGCCACAGAAAAATAACATTCCTTGGAAACAAAGATTCAGCTTCAATGCATTGCAGCGAGGCTGCTCTGCATTTGATTAGCAGTGAGCAGGCCTATTCTCTTCACCAGTGTGCATTAGTTAGCAGTGAGCAGTGAGCAGGCCTTTTCTCTTCACCAGCGTGCAAAGCAGTAAGTAGTGGTGAGCCATTTCACTTATGACCTTCCTGTCATCTTTTTCAATCCCTCCTTGCCCCAGTAGTTTTGACTTGTTGCTCTGCCAAATCTATCCATTAGACTTTGGACAGCATACCAGAGTTCCCATCACTGTGAACCACTATCTGACTTAAGGGAAGAATAGGTTTGCTTGGCTCATTGTTTCAGGGTTGTTTCATGGTGGAGTGTCTGTGCTAGGACTGAAACTCTGACATCAGTATGGCCAGGAAGAAGAGAAGGGAATCCCCTTCCTTTTGTCACACTGGGGACTCTGAGATGGTTCTTCCCCTTAGCAAGTCTCTCTTGGAAAGCCCTTAAGACACTTCCAGAAGTGTATTTACTTATTTCTCAAGCCCTTCTAAATCCAGTCAAGTAAGAAATAAAGACTACCCATCACAGACGGACGCCTAAGCGTGTAGGAACTCTACAGTAAATGTCGACTGGAAACAGTAACTGCCCCAACCTCTCATTGAGACTATGGCTAACACCGAAACCAAGTGGCTTATACTGGAAAAACAGGATTCGCCTTTCGGAAGCAACCCTCAAATATTTTGATATTTTACTAAAGCATTCTAATGACTTTAGTATGAGTTTGAGATTTCCAAAATCTAAATTGTTTATCAGTCTTACTCTCATGCCAAAAATATATGACATCTGTCTTAGGGTTACTATTGCTATGATGAAGCACCATGATCAAAGCAAATTGGAAAGGAAAGGGTTTATTTGGCATATACTTCATCATCATTGTTCATCATTGAAGGAAGTCAGAGCAGAAACTCAAACAGAGCAGGATCCTGGAGGCAGGAGCTGATCTAGAGGCAATGGAGGAGTGCTGCTTACTGGCTTGCTCAGCCTGCTTTCTATACCTATTCCACTGTATACTATCATAAGAGAGCATCCTGCTCTCATCTATCTGTAACTTAGTACCATGAGTCAAACTTCCAGACTTCTCTACTTCCTATCCTACCTCTGATAATTATTCTACTTTCAACTTCTCTCAAGTAAATAATAGGCAGCTGTATTAGTTTGGGTTACTACTGCTGTGATGAAACACCATGGCCAAAAGCAAGTTGGAGAGAAAACAGTTTATTTAGCTTTTGCCTCCATACCCATAGACCATCACTGAAGGAAATCAGGACAGGAACTCAACAAGGAAAGAACCTGGAGTCAGGAACTGATGTAACGACCAGAGAGAGGTGCTGCTTACTAGCTTGCTCTCCATAGCTTGCTCAGACTGTTTTCTTACATAACCCAAGACCACTAGCACAGGGGTGACCACACCCACAATGAACTGGGTCCATATCAATCAATAATTAAGAAAACTCCCTAAAGAGCTGGGTGTTGGTGGTGCACACCTTTAATCCCAGCACTCGGGAGACAGAGGCAGATGGATCTCTGTGAGTTTGAGACCAGCCTGGTCTACAAGAGCTAGTTCCAGGACAGCCTCCAAAGTCACAGAAAAGCCCTGTCTCAGGAAAAGAAAGAAAGAAAGAAAGAAAGAAAGAAAGAAAGAAAGAAAGAAAGAAAGAAAGAAAGAAAGAAAGAAAGAGAAAGGAAGGAAGGAAGGAAGAAGAAAGGGAGGGAGGGAGGAAGAAAGGAAAAAAGAAAGAAAGAGAAATAAGAAAGAAAGAAAACGCCCTAAAGGCTTGCTTACAGTCTGATTTTATTGAGGCATTTTCTCAATTAAGGCTTCTTCTTCACTGAGGACTCTACTTATGTCAAGATGACATAAACTAGCCAGCATATCTTTTCAAACTCCTGTAAGAAAATGTCAAGTCACCTCATTAGCTTTTTCTAAAATATGATTTTAAGAAGATGCCCCTTTTTTCTCATGGAAATTTTCCAAACAGAGGTTTGAACATTTCAAGGACAATTTAATTGTACCCTCCAGTTCTTCCTCACGACACCAACAGATCATGCACTGAGGCTTAACTTGGTGCACATTTTCTCAGAACTAAAAGAAAGGGGGATGAATTGCATTTGTAGAATTGGACTTGGACCACTCAGCTCTTCCCTGTGATGCCCCCTTCTCTTAGTACAGAGTGTGAGAGTGGGAAGGAAGCTCAAGGAGTACTTAGACTATAACCAAGAGAAATTGGACAGAAGCACGTGAGGACGACATTGAATTGAATGCCTAAATACGTCTCTTTCTCAATCCCCGGAATCAGACTGTAAAACTACAGCTCTCTACACACTCGCTGCCTGAGATGAAGCCACCTGATGTTTTTTCATTGTCATTGCTGTGGCTCACTGCAGCATTTAGTCCATGCTTGGAAACTCTTACCAGCACAGCGACCTCAAGGAGCCTGTCCTGGAGACTGATGCTCACCGACACCACTGTAGTTTCCCTCACTGCAATGGCAGTGTCAGGCCGTTCCAGCGCCTTCCTGAGCAACTCGTGTTTCTCCCCCACTTATTCCAGGAAGCATTTCATTTGAATTCGTTCTCTCCGGTGTTCATTTATCTGGTCTGTGGGAACATCCTATCTGAGGAAAATTATATCCTGTGAATCTTCCTTTTCATTTCTTCTGAGCCTCCCAAATTGAAGGAAATACGGAGAACAGCAACCTGATTGCTCAGGGATCTGAGGATCTAACCAGCAGTTTGTGAGCTCTCCTCAGCATCAGTAAAGTTCTGGCTTGTGCACATTTTTTTCACCTCAATTACTAAGGACACACAGAAAAACATTATTTGGTGTTCTTGCCATTTTCTTATCTTTCATCTGTAATTCTCTATTGTAGAAAGGCAAATCTTTTTCTTTTTGCATTTACCTATTATTCTTATATAATTACAGCCCTCCATTTCCTTTCACAAGCACAGGGTGGATCTGAGCACATTTAGGTCAAGAGAAAGTGTGTTCTGTGTCCCAGTGGTACTTAAATGGCCTGACATCGCCTCACTCTGTGTTTGAAGCGTCA